AAGAGCCCTTGCTTCCCCCCGGACTCCACCACATCTCCCCTGGTTCTCCTTCTCCTTCCCTAACCATTTCTCCTCAACCCCCACTGGGGACAGGACCCTCTTTCTCTGGTCCACATGCTACCTGATGTTCCTCTCCCTCTCCCTTCTGTCTTTATTTCACGCTAGAAGCCCTCTGCAGGCCATCTGCTCCAGTCCCTGGTCTTTTTTTTTTTTTCTTGGATAATTACCTTTATGGTCTTGGGAGCTGAAAGTATTACAGCAATATATATTTCCAGCTACACATCCCTGGTCTTACCACTCCTTTACCTGGACAGCTCACCAGGCTCTCGCACCCAACAATTTCAAAGCCTAATCATTTTCTTCTGTGCCCACCCCTTCCCCAGCATTTCATTGTTTTCTCCTGCGCTCCCATCTTAGCATCACGTCCCACCCAGATACACAGGTGAGAAATCTGGGAGTCATTTTGAACATTCCCCAGCTACATCCAATAAGTCTTTCATCCAATGAGATCTTTCTCATTTATTTCTCCTTAACTGCTCTCACACACAAAACTCCTTTTCCCCTCTTCCCTTTGCCATGGGTCAGTCATGGCTCTCACCACCTGTCTCCAGGATCTTCAGCAGCAATCGGTCTCTGGCCTGCCACCAGTCCTTTTCTTTCTTTTTTTCTTTTTGTTTTTCAGACAGAGCCTCAAGCTGTCCCCCTGGGTAGAGTGCCATAGCATCACAGCTCACAGCAACCTCCAACTCCTGGGCTTAAACGATTCTCTTGCCTCAGCCTCCCAAGTAGCTGGGACCACAGGCATCCAGCACAACTCCCGGCTATTTTTTGGTTGTAGTTGTTGTTGTTTGGCGGGCCCAGGCTGGATTTGAACTTACCAGCTCTGATGTATGTGGCTGGCACCTTAGCCGCTTGAGCCACAGGTGCTGAGCCCAAAGTCCTTTTCAGGGGCCATCGCCCACCTCCAGCTGCTGCAGCTAACTCTCCGTTAAGCAGACCTCATTATCTGCCTTCCCCAACTCAAAACCCTTTTCTGGCATGATCATGGCACAAAAGGCCCTACATGTACCACCTACTTTTTTCCAGTTAGCTTTCCAACGTTACACACCAATATTAAAAATTCCATGTATTACACTACTTCAAGTTTCCAGAAAATATCATGCTATCTTAGGCCTCTCTGCCTGAGTAAACATGCACCTCTACTTTCAATTGCCTTGCTGACTTTTAAGTGTTTTTCAAGAAATTGGTGTGAGTAGTCTCCACGTTCTTTGGGAAGCTTTCCTTCCTCCCACAGGCTTGCTTCAGCCGTTCTTGCTTTATTGTTACGGCATTAGGCTGATGCTCTGACTTGCTGTTCACAGGTGTGTATCTCTTTGCTAAACTGCCAAAGGCACGAGGCCTACCGAGTACGTAGTGAATGCTTACCGATTGTACAACTCCCCGTAGATTTAAATTGCATGAAAACATGTCATTGTTAGTGATACAGTTTGGATATTTGTCCCTTCTAAGTCTCATGTTGAAATGTGATCCCTAATGTTGGAAGTAGGGCTTCGTGGGAGGTGTTTAGTTGGGGGAGAGGGGCAGGTCCCTTATGAAAGTCTTGGTGGGAACTAGTTTAGTTCCTTTAACAGGTTGTTAAAGAGTCTGGCACCTCTCTCCCCACTTCCTCTCTCACCAGCAAGCTTAGCACAGGCTGGCTTCTCTTTGCCATCCACCATGAATGGAAGCTTTTCAAGCTTTCATCAGAAGCAAATACTGGCACCACACTCCTTGTAAGTCTCAGAACCATGAGCCAAATAAATCTCTTGTCCTTATAAATTACCCAGCCTCAAATATTCCTTTATAGCAACACAAAGACAGTTGTATTACAAGTAAAAGTCCACATGTAAGAGAATGTTGATGATGTTCTTGTTATTTATAAATATAACCATTTTATATAAGGTCTTTTGAAATCATTTTTATGACCATATGTCAGCCAAGTATTGTACAACGTACTCAGCAGAGTCAACTGCAATAAGCAAACCTTGGATTGGATGATTCTGGACTTAAAAATGCAGATACAGGGGCAGTGCCTGTGGCTCAAAGGAATAGGCCGCTGGCTCCATATGCCGGAGGTGGTGGGTTCAAACCCAGCCCCAGCCAGAAACTGCAAAAAAAAAAAAAAAAAAAGCAGATACAGGATATCTAAGACAAAAAAAAAAAATGGATTGTATGATAGGTGATATTACTAAATTAATGTTAATTTTCTTAACACTAATGGGATGTTAATGGTATTCTAGTCAGCTAGAGTAGTCTTTACTCTTAGGCCGTGAGTACACGCTTAACTTTTTAGGGAAAAAGCTTTATGATTTTTCAAAGGGTTAATTTTTAAAAAGCATACACAAAAAGATACAGCAAATGTGGCAACATGATTAAGTGTCAGTATTCTTTGTACTAATCTTTCAACTTCTCTGCAATACAATGTTTAGGGCAAATGCTAAAAAGACAACCAAAAATAAAAAATAAAATCTTCAAATTTAAGTGCTGGCATTGCTCTTGACCTCTCCCCACCCCCAAACCCTGCAGAATAGCACCTTCCATTGCCATGTCCACACCATAAAACCACACCATTTCAATCAGATTTGGGCGTTACAATTGAAAGGCACAGTTATCCTCCAAAAAGCACTCCACAATTCGCTCCCTTAGTTTGCCAACCATCACTAGGCTGTTCATTTTTATTTGCTTAAATGATGTCATATTCCACTTTAGAAGCTTATGCAAATAAAAAATGTTCTCCTCAACTGCTGTGTGTGATACCTTGAGGTCAGCCATCAGAGATTTTCATCTGGGAGAACTCGAGGTAATAAAGCAGCAGCAGAAGTTGGCAGTAGTCATCTTGCTTTAGTCCTCCCAGAACTGCCAACTCCATGGCAAGAGCTGATTATTTTTTATTGCTGTGAAGGTGACACTTGGACCCAAGGATACCCCAAAATGAGGGCCTCAGAAACAAAGTTTCTCTCCAACCCTCCACTGTCATCTTGGCTCTCACCCCTCATTCTCTCCCAGGCAAGCCATAGAAACCAGAATCTCTCTTCTCCAAGGTGGGTCATAAAGCCAGAAATCGTTTTTCCTGAAATCCAGAGATAAAACCTAAAAATGTTACCTTTCTGTTTAACAGCTGGCTATCAAGAAATTAAAAGCCTCATTCTACAAGGGTCCTTCCTCTGTACCCAACAAGAAGAACCTGGATGGACAGGCCTGGCTGGGTTTCCCCAATCAATTAGCATTAGGTCACATGCTTTCTATACAATTATATTGCTACACAACTGTCCACATCTCATTGAACCTAAGCATAAAAAATAGTTTTCCCTGCCGGGCAGGTGGCTCACACCAGTAATCCTAGCACTCTGTGAGGCCAGAGCAAGTGGTTGCTTGAGCTCAGGAGTTCAAGAGCAACTTGAGCAAAAGCAAGGCCATTTAAAAAACAATAGCCAGGAAAAAAAAAAAAAAGCCAGGCATTGTGGCAGGCACCTATAGTCCCAGCTACTTGGGAGGCTGAGGCAAGAGGATCACTTGAGCCCAAGAGTTTGAGGTTGCTATGAGCTATAATAATATAGCACTCTACTGAGGGAGATAAAGTGAGGCTCTGTCTCAAAAAAAAAAAGTTTTCCCTGGATCTTTTAGGTGTTACTTCTGAAGGTTCTCATGTCACCTAAAACTATAGTATGATTAAACAAACATGTTATGCTTTTCTCTTGTTAACCTGTCTTTTGTATAGGGATATCAGCTATGACCCTTATGATGGGGGGGGGGAAGGGATCACCTCATTTCTCCCCCTACAATGACAAGAACTTAGCCCTTCTGCTATGTTTCTATTATATCCATATGAAAAAAATTAAAGAATTTATCATTTTTATCTAAAAGTGTCAATGAAATTAGGTATGCACCAGTAGAACTGAAAATAAATGGCCACACAAAAATTAGTATATGGCTGTTTGTAGCAGCACTAATCATAACAGCCAAATAACAGAAATAACCCAAATGTCTATCAATTTACCAAGGAATAAGCAAAAGTGGTATATCCATATAATGGATTAGTAGTCAGAAAAAAGGAATAAGATACTAATAATATGGTACAACATGGATGACTCTTAAAAACATCATGCTGAGGTAAAGGAGCCAGACACAAAGACTACATATTGTATGATTCCATTTATATGAAGTGTTCAGAACAGACAGAACTATAGAGACAAATTGTATTGGCATTTCCCCAGGGCTAGAATAGGGGAATAACTGCTAATGGGTCCAGTCATCTTAGGGGTGATGAAAATGTTCTGGAAGCAGATTGTGGAGATGGTTGGACAACTTGGTAAATATATTAAAAAGCACTGAATTATGCAATTTAAATGCATGAATACTATAGCATGTGATTTATAATTCCATTTAAAAAAAGCAACTTTCCACTTGATTCCATTGTTAAGGACGGTCAAGGGAGCTGTAGGGCATACTGGCTATGATATATCTTCAGCCTTCCAGCCGTCATTGGCCAGAGTGAAGAGTGGCCCCTGACTCTGCAGGTGCTGGCAAAGCTCCTCCTGCCCCAGTCCTCACAGGAGCACTACAGTTTGCCTTGACTTCTTTAGGGCTGATCTCAGCCTGCCCCACATTCCAGTTTGCCACCAGAATTCCAGCATTTCCTCATGCAAGTCTCAAACCCAATACCCAACTTCAACTTCCTCATTGTACCTACCATCTGTCACTCACATCCCTCCAAATTTGGAGTTATTCATTGCTTTGCTGCAAACAGTAGATGCTCAATAAATTCTGGTGAATGAACGAACTTGGGGAAAAAGCTTCTCTCGAAATTTGCACAGAATATTGTTTAAAAGATGAAGTTTCATGATTCAAATGTATTTTTTTCATAAGATTTTCTCCTCCATTTAAACATATAGCCAATCTTTGAGAAATCTGCCACAAATGGTTATTTTATTACAGATGACAAGCTAATTTACAAATGTTTATACATTTTAAGAAAAACATTCAGGTATCATAAACGTAACAATTTCAATAGCCAAGATTCAAATTTACAACAGGAAAATAAACATAAACAACTTATTTTTGCACTATGTGGTTATGGCTGCACTACCTTTAATTCCTTATCCAGAGTCCAAAATATGTAGGAAAACCCTAAAAATGTAGCAGAAGCATTTCCGCACACTGGTATCCACAATCTAGTTTGTGCAGAAATGTTTCCACTAGATTCATAGAGTACTCTTTGGAAAAAAGAAGTGAGGACTGGTCATTTGGTTGCTCTTCGGATCTTCTGCAACTCTTCAATAGGCTTCCATTGTTGGTTGATTGTTACAAGCTTAAAAAAGAAATAAATAAAAGTGTTTTGTTAAAGATTTGCCCTTCATCCTCATGTGCCCCTTTGGGGGTTTGTCCACACTCTCCTTTAGAAAGAGCATCATCATGGAATTTGTAGTCAAAGAAACACCTCTTTCCATCTCTAACACAAGCACAGAACAGTAATTGGTTTCTATCACTCCATCCCCTAACAAGCCTTTTGGCTCCTAAGTGTTATGGAACCAGAAGAGAAGGTCAAACACATGCCCCACTTTCACTTAGCAGTATACAGATTTTTTAACTTGTCGAGGTATTATGTAAGTCTTAAGTTCACAGTGTGTCTACTTCTTGTGAGTGTATAATGCTCCTAGCACACAGTAGGCTCTTAAAATTTCCCGGGATGCTAATTACTCATCAAAGACACAAAAGATCTAAGTTTCACAGTAAGAGTAAAAGGTATAATCTACCTTGCTGACAAAGCTGCTAAGGTTTGGGCAAAATATAAGTCACTCATTTTTGACTTAACGATACCTTTTGAGGTACATTAGGATCCACATTTTCCCAAGGTTCTGGATTTCTTTTTCGATCAATACTGAAATTAAAAGAAAGCCAATCACATATCAAAGTAAATGAATTTAAACCAACACGGATACTGGGTCTACAAATATGCTAGGAACAAATCCAGTCTCTATACTGAGGTATTCTGTCTGTTAGTTAACTATCAGGAACCACCAGTAGTAACTAAAGTTAATGGAAAATTCCTTAAGGGAATTTTACCGGTTTGGCTCAAACATTAAGGACCACTTCTTCTGAAGAGTTAGAGATCTATATTCTCTTTTGGGCTAGAGCAATCTCACCAACAAAATAACAATGGAGGTAGAAATGGCAGGTCAAGGACAAGTAATAATATTCTTCCTGGTTTCTGGGAAGAGCAGAGAAGCTGGGCTTGATCTCTGCAAGTTGCCAACTCCCCGGTTAAGGGCCTCTCTGCCCCTGTCTAGAGTTACTGCTCTCTCCAACTCTGGTCCCACCTAGATCTGTTTCAAATTTATTTTCCTCATATTCTAGGATACATTTTTTTGCCTTCTTCTATTCAAAATTGAGATTAAAGTTCACTGTTGACAACTAAATCTACCAATTCTACCATATTAATAAAGATTCAACTTTTGAATAAGTTGAAATTTAAAATATCACTTAAAATGATTACTTAAGTTTGAGGATACAGGACCCTAAAACACATTTAGGAACTTAAAATTTCAAAACCTGACAAAGAATCAAACTTTATTTCTCTGTAGGAGAGTGAAAGAGGGCTGATAGATTAAAAGGATACTTAAACATGAGGAATAAACTGATTTTATTAGCATCATAATTTAATAGTCTTCTGATACCAAGGTGCTTCTTAGCCTTGACTTTAAGTTCATAATCTGACATTCTTATCCATGGGGGGAAAATGGGATATCATGTATTTCATAAACTAAAACTAGCCGAACACTGCTAAAGATATTTTCATAAACAGAGACCTACTTACATCACATCGGATTTCCCAAGGGAATATACAGCAAAAGACGAGGCTCCGACCGCAGCAAAAGTTATGAACACCGCCAAAGGAATAAGCTAACAGATGACAGGTTGATGGTAAATATTCAGATGTTTGCATAGGAAACATTTGAAACATAACAAAATAGCTATACGTCATTTCATACTTTCTTCGAAACCTGTGTCATTTTAACATCTTTAAAAATTAGCACTTAATCAACTTCTCAATTGCTCTAAAAAACTTACTTCCTTCTTTTTCATCAGGAGTTGGAAAACGCCCATGCTGACTTCAGTGTAGAATGTCAAATCTAGAATTAAAAAATCCAAGATACTGTTCAAATCTTCAGAAATTAGGACCCAACCTGGTGGGCTCCAAACCGCGCAAGGTGTCCCCCAAAGGCAGCCGAGGGCCGGCTCACTAGCGCCCCAGCGGAAAGGCGGCGCACCTGCGGGAGGGGGAAGCGCGCGCGAGGAAGATGCTAACCGCCCAGAACCGCACCTGCCGCGGCCTCCGCACCTTATATACTGACCACAGCCGCTCCGGAAGGGCCGGACCTGGGCGTTCCGGGCACGCGGGCAGGGCGGGAAGCGCGCGGACCTGACTCGCTTTACCCATTCGGCGCGCGGCTCCCGGGCGCCCCCTGCAGGACTCCATGCGAAAAACTTGGTGCGGCCCGACGCGGATACGGGCGCCACCTGCCGGTCCATCGCAGCCGCCCGGCGTCACTCCCGGCCACCCTTGACGCTTGCAAAAGGTCTGGGGGTATGGGGTGTAGAAGGTGGAACCGGAAAACAAAGGAAGCGCTGAAGGTCAAGATCTGGGTGAAAGCCAACGCTTCTAGAAAGAGTCTGGAGAAGAGTTGCAGAGCTGGGGCCCCCCAGGAGTGCGTCCCACGTGCAGGCAGGTAAATTAGAATTAATCTGTTCACATTAAAAACGCCAAAAATGTGATGCAGTGCACATATGCAGATAATTGTAAAGTTCATTTCAGAGTAACTCCCATGGTGTCCTGAGTTTTTCCAAGAAGGAAAACTGGTGGTTGAGGGGAAAGAAGTTGAGAAACAGTTGGAAAGGTTTCCAAGAGAAGATCTATTTCTGCAAACGGCCGAGTGGGCTGGGTTCTTCTTTGGATTCTCTCTTAACCTTCCTCTAAGCTAGCAGCCTTGCTTTGCAGAGTTTGCCCTAGTCTGCAAACCCGCGGAAAGAACTATACCAATTTCATCCAGCCATGGGCTGTGTGCCACCTAAGGAGCCCGATTCCTCTCAGTATTTTTGCAAGATGGATACATATTATTGAGATTCAGAGACTCAAGTCACACAGCTGGTGGTAAATGGCAGAGATGGAATCTAAAATGCTGCTCTGTCTGGCGCCTAATACCAGGCATCCTTCTGCACCCCTCTCTTAACTACTGCGATTAAGTCAAGGGTTTGTTTATTTTTAAAGTTATTTATTATTTTCATTTTTATTTTTATTTTTTTGAGACAGAGCCTCACGCTGTCGCCCTGGGTAGAGTGTCGTGGCATTACAGCTCACAGCAACCTCCAACTCCTGGGCTTAAGCGAGTCTCCTGCCTGCGCCTCCCAAGCAGCTGGGACTACAGGCGCCCGCCACAATGCCCGGCTATCTTTTTTTGGTTGCTGCCGTCATTGTTGTTTGGCGGGTCCGGGCTGGGGATTCGAACCCGCCACCTTAGGTGTACGTGGCTGGTGCCTTAGCCGGTTGAGCTATAGGCGCCGAGCCATTTTTATTTTTTTTGAGACAGAGTCTTACTGTGTTGCTAGAGTGCTGTAGCGTCACAACTCACAGCAACCTCCAACTCTTGGGCTTAAGAGATTCTCTAGCATCAGCCTCCCGAGTAGCTGGGACTACCCGCACCTGCCACAACTCACGGCTACTTTTTAAAGACGCGGGGACGGGGTGGGTGAGTGGGCGGTCCTCGCTCTGACTCAGGCTGGTCTTGAACCTGTGAGTTCAGGCAATCCACCTGCCTCAGCCTCCCAAGTGCTGGGATTATAGGCGTGAGCCACCTGTTATTTTTAAGTAACTTCGTTCAAACTGTAAGTGTAAACGCACACATCTTAATGGTCTCTGGAAATTGTCAGACCCAACTCTATTTCAACCCAATTTTAGTTCTAGACTTTGGTTTTGCAGACAAAGGGACCTGAGTTCAGTGCCTACCCCTGCCACACTTGTTAGCTGCCTCTGAGTAAACTACTTAACCTTTATGGGCCTCAGTTTATGTATCTGCAAAATGGGGACAAACTTATCTGTGGAAGGAGTTGGAAAAATATTAGAATGTATGAAAAGCCATGTAGCGTTCTGCCCTGCCTGAAGTAGGCACTTAATAAATAGTTATTATTTTCAAAGACTTGTTTTATATAAGGCAGAGCATAAATGTACTTTACTACCCACTTGCTCTAACAGTGTAACTCAGGAGCTGTACTCCCAGACATTTGGTTAGACCCACATCAGATGTGTCAAGGAAAATTCAATATTCATTCTCCTTGTATTATATAGAATCGGAGAAGCTTCCTAAAGCTCCTGCAAGATTTCTAAGGCTACTTATGCCAGGTTTTTTTTTTTTAAGCCTCATTTTGTTAATAATTAAAGAGAAATTTTTGATGGAAGATTGAGGGAAAGAAAGGGAAGGAGGAATCTTACAGGAACATTCCAGGACTCCCAAATTAGAATTAAATTGTGTAGCCCTTCCCAACTGATGACCTGAAATTCAGAGCCCTGCTTTGCCAATGTCATTTCTTTTCAAAATGTAATGTTGTTTTGTAGTAGTTTAGGCATTATTCTGAGGACAGGGGCACTGTAGAATTAAAAAGATTAATAAAACACAAATCCCTTACTTTAAGATGCTTACAATTTAGTGCCTATAAATAACTCTAACTTAAGGTATGATCTAGTGCCAAAAGACAGATGGTTAATTCCAATAGGGGGTCTGCGAAAAACTTACCAAAGGTAGGGGTGTTTATCTGAACATACAAATAGACATACCACTGTAAGAAGATATTTTGGTGGCAATTGGGAAACTTAAATAGAATCCAGACATGAAATAATACAGTATTAAATACAATATTGAAGGAACATTGTTACGTTTGTTAGGTATGATATGGTATCATGGTTATATGATAAAAATGCCCCCTCCTTTAGAGCTTATACATGAAAATTTTTAAGGGAAAAATGTCATGAGATTTACTTTGAAATACAACTAAAAAACAAATTAGGCAAATTTAGCCAATATTCATAATTATCTAATGTAGGTGGTAAATACATGGAAGTTTGTTATCCTATTCTATTTTTGTGCATGTTTGGAAATGTTTTTAAAAATTTTAATTCAAAAATTGTAGGTAGTTACAGATATAATGTGCCATATAATCTTTAAGATCTGATTATTCCTATTTGTAGCAATGAGAATTAAACCCATAAAGCCACACTTTTCTCCCTTTTTGATAATGCCAGGGTGTATTAAACTTTGGGAATATTAAGGTCAATATGTAATTTGGTCTTTTCTTAGATTCAAGGAATTACAACGCTGTGGTTTGGGTAGCTCCTTTACATTTTACAGTTAATCATACAAACACATTAAGGCAAAGGCAGCAAATTTGAATTTTAAATTATCTACTCAAAGAATACTTTTGCAAAAACAGGCACAGCTGACCCTTGAACAACTCCGGTGATAGGGCCCAGACCTACCCTCCTTCCCCCATTACCTCAGCTGTCAAAAATCTGCTTATCACTTTTGATTCCCCAAAATGTAATTACTAATAGCTTGCTGTTGACAGGTTAGCCTCACCAATAACATAAACGGTTAATTAATACATATTTCGTGTCTTATATGTATTATATATTGTTTTCTCACAATAAAGTCAGCTAGAAAAAAGACAATGTTATTAAGAGAATAATAAGGGAAAGAAAATGTATTAACTATTCATTAAGTGGAAGCAAATCATCATAAAGATCTTATTCTCGCTGTCTTCATGTTGAATAGGCTGAAAAGGAGATAGAGGAGGGGTTGGATTGCTGCCTCACGGTATCAGAGATGGGAGAAAATCCATGTGTAAGTGGACCTCGAAATTCAAACCTGAGTCGTTCAAGGGTCAACTGTACATGACTAAAGAATCTTCAGTTTTGCAATTTTGTCTGAAGTTGTTAAAAGCAAGACTGCCTAACAAAGAATTTTCCATCATCCAGTTCTTAAGCAATGAGAACACTTTCCACCCCCAAATGTAACAGAAATCATGGTCTCACAATGGGTAACTGAGGGTAGGGATGAAATGAGGATTCTCTCTGCACCCAAGCCCTACCTGTGGCCAGGGCACCCAGACCTAGGCCAGTGGTGCCTGCAGGACTGGGATGAGAAGCAGGCTCAGCTCCCAGCCCATCAAACCCTGGCAGCCCCAAAGAAGCCCACTCAGGACACTCACCAGGGTCATCCTCTGTGGCTGCTTCAATGCCCATAATCCCTTGGAGGAATTCCCTCTGCCCACCCCCAATTGCCAGAAACTTCTATTTCTTAATTTTCTTTTAAAGCTAAATTTAGCACTGGAGGTCAAAAACCAACTTTTAGTGACACTAATGCACTATCAGTAAGTTCTGATAATCCAGTACCTTTGGACCAGCTGTCAGAAACATCTAGAACTTTCTTTA